GTTCTCCAGCCTGTTGCGATGATTCTTTTCCTCATAAATGCATTTCTCACATTAGATATCTTTACTTTCAATTCTTTTACCTCTGAACAAACGAAATCAACCGTCTTTTTAAGACCTTCAATTCGCATAGCGTTGTTGTTTATCAGTTTCTCCATACCGTCTGCCCTGGTATTAATCAGTTCAGAGAGAGTAGATATAATTTCCTCACCAAATATGTCAGGTTTACCACATTTGCTGGATGGTGGCTTACTTGGAGTCACAGGTAACGAAGGAAAGTCCTCCACAGAGGGTAATGGCGGAGATACATGAGTGTCATAATCATGACAAACATCCATCAGTAAATTGCTCCCTTCAGAAGTTATCATGACATCAGGGTTGGGCTTCATAACAGCAGGTGTAACGTTAGCCGAACTGCTAACCGTGAGATCTAATAGATCTTTCCTTTTCTTTTGAGATTTCGACATGTTTCTTCCGTCATTAAATTACAGATATCAGTTTCAAAAGAGGTCTTGATAAGCGTCACTTATCTTCAAGAAATAATTTGTCGCAGAGCTTGGGAAAGACAACTGTTCAGAGCGCCATCTTCCCGCCGTCCCCGTTCGAAAAAAACTTACTAGCTCCTTTTGCACTCTTCAGAAACCTATGGGTGACGTCACACACACTACGTCATGGGTGGCCAACCCTGTTCCTGGAGAGCCGCCTTCCTGCAGATTTCAGTTGCAACCCACATCAAACACACCTGCCTGTAATTATCACGTGGTGTTCAGGTCCTAATTAATTGGTTCAGGTGTGTTTGATATGGGTTGCAACTGAAATCTGCAGGAAGGTAGCTCTCCAGGAACAGGGTTGGCCACCCCTAGTGTTCCTGGAGAGCCGCCTTCCTGATCTAAACTAATAAAAAATGTTGAAAATCTAAAAAACTAAAAATTGGCCGTAGTGTGTGTATGTGTGCATGTAAGAGTATGGGTGTTTCCCAGTACTGGATTGCAGCTGGAAGGGCATTCGCTGTGTAAAATATATGCTGGATAAGTTGGCAGTTCATTCCGCTGTGGCAATCCCTGATAAATAAAGGAACTAAGCTGAAGGAAAATTAATTAATCAAACTGTTTGTATAGTGAGATTAATCTAAAAAAGATTTTGGTTAGATGTCACCATCATGGAGAACATTGGTTTATTTATTAGAGCTCTTTGATTCATCAGTGCTTGCAGTATGTGATTTTGTCTTTAATTGAGCATTAGTATAATAAAACAAAAGGTAAGATTAGTATTGGTGAAAAGACATTTTATTAAAGTTTGTTTCAGTATTGTCTTGACTAAATATTGTGAGGATGGTGGTGGAAATTTCCCTGTATATAGCCACATTCAGTTCTACAGAATAAAATTTAGCAGTGTTTTCATCAAGTAATAATAATGTGTAACATCTGAGCAACTTTCAACACTGACATAAAGAATGAACGTATGAACTGACATGCTGCAGAGAATCTTGCAAAACTCATCTATGACTCCCAGCATTCAATGCGACAAGAAATGTGTCACTGAGATGCATATGCTGATTCTTGATGTCTGTGTTTTAAGAGTCTCAGATGTTCAATGTGTTTTTATGCTCAAAACACTGCTGAAATGTCTGAATCTGTTGAGGTAAAGAATATAGTTTGCAGCATATTCAAAAACTTTGTGTTAAAACAAATCAGTGAAACAAACATATAATTTTAAAATTATTGTGTGTTATTTTTATTTCAATTCACAATGGCAACAATAAAGAAGGGAGAAAGAAAGAAAAAAAAAACAGCATTGAAGAGTCAAAAAGCCCAAGTAAAGGAAACACTGTTCTCCACAATGGTGACATCTAACAAAATTGCCAATATAAATATATTGATTCAATTAACTGCAAGTAATTTAGACTGAGATATTATTATAAATATATTATATTATTATAAATCATGTTTGATCCATACAACATACAACACATTGCTTCCATTCCAAGATTATTTGATTTTATCAAATTAAATGTGTTTTATTATTTGTTGAAGTGGCGGTCAGTCAACAACTACAAAAAGTGTGATTTGTGATTCTTCTTCAAAGTACATATTTAAAATGAGCTTTTCTTGCTGGAAAACAGCAATAAGCTAAAATAAATAAGTAAAAATAAAATATTTGTTTTGGTGGCTAACAATAATTAAGATTAACTAACGTAATACATTAAGATGAAACTAAGAATATTACACTGATTCAACTAATCAACATTGCACTGATTTTATGTAATTAACTTGTTCACTGATATAAACATTATTATTAAAATCCACCTAACCCAGTTACGTGGAACCTGTAGACATAAGAAAGTTAAGTAATGCCAACATTTAATGTTGTTAACTTTTTTATTTTAATACACAAAGGAGGAGAGGAGGTTATTTACAAGTTATTAAAATAAATGATTAGTACAATACATTGAACTGGAAGAAGTAATAGGTAAGTGTTTTATGATTCTTCCAGCATTCACTGTGGCAAGATATTGAGACTCATACCCTGAATCATGATGCCTGTGTGTTTTTAATTATTTCAAAGGTTCAATGTGGTTTTAAAACCTGATCAATAATATGCAGAATAAAATGAGTAGCTCAATGAAATCTTCATTACATTATATTTACATTATATTACATACAATAAAAAATAATCCCCTGACACAATCAGTAAATCAAACCTAATAAATATGATGAACTAATCAGTTTGCTTTTAGTAAAAAAAAAACAGAGCTTCAACTAAGATAAGATTAACATAACAAACGAAGAATCAGAGAGACAAAGTAAAGCAACCACTCTTCATCATAATGGTGACTTCTGAAAATGTATTTTTAATCAATCATAACCTTTAGTTCTGAACAAATGTAAATGAAGACTGGGTAGACGTCTCAAAAAAAGTCAAACAAGGTAAAAATTGAAGTTCCTGATGATTCTTATCAGAGTAAAATTTACTCAGTTCAGAGAATATTTGGTCCCTCTCAAAATTTAGCAAAATTTACTCAGCAGCAAAGTTAAAGTTAATAAGACAATGATGGGGTAATTAAGTGATGATTGAGCACTGATGATGAACACCTGCTGTTAATAAGAGACATTCTTTTCTGCAGAAACAGAAAAGGGAAACACAAAACTACACCTACCTTCAGTCACAGCCACACATTTAATAAACTAAATAAAGCACATCAAATCTTTCAAAATCTCAGCAGTGCATCATTAAGCAACTCCACAAACAGCAGCTTTACTTATTAACCACCTGTCTGGCCTTATTTCTGCCATACTCTACAAAATTCCATAGAGTAATAATATTCAGAATTAACTAAGTCATTTTTTACAACAACAATAAAAAAGTAAAATCGTTTTTGTGTTTAAGTTGTCACCATTGAGGAGAACAGTAGTTGCTTTACTTGGACTCTGACTCAGTTTTGAATGTTTATTTCTCTTTATCAAGTATTATGGCAAATATTGTATAAATGGAGCCATTGTGCTGTGCATTTTCGACTCTGTGGTGGTTTAGTTAATGGTCAAATCAGAAAAGATGCTTAAAGTTGAATCAGAGAATGGAACTCACCAATACTTTTATCAGATCATAACACACATTGAGTTACTAAAACACACGAACATAAAGAATCACAGTATGCTTCTCAATTATGGTGAGTTTTTTTTTTTTCCTAGTGCATGCTGGGAACTATGGATGAATGTCATATGATTCTCTTACCATGAACTGCAGCCAAAAATAAATAAAACTCTGACCACTGTTGAGATACGCTGATTATTGATGTCTGTGTCTTTGAATTGATTCAGATGCTCAATGTTTTTCAAAAAATTATAAACTCACAGCTGGTCCATTCTCTTGATAAACACTGAATTGTGTTTCTTTATGATAAACCATCATTTAAATATAATTAGTTCTATCAAACATAATCTCTTATACAGTTACTCTTGCCAAGAGTAAAAATCAAATCAGCATCAGTCAACTTGATCATATTTGTTCAAGTCCAAGTAAATCAACCACTTTTCTCCACGATGGTGATATCAGGGGTAAAAAACATGTTTTTTTTTTTTTTTTTTTTTTTTGTAAAATGTAAAGAACTAAAACAGTTAATTCTCAATAAATCTCATATGGACTTTTGTAAACATCTGACAGAAATAAAGTCAATCAGGTAATCAATGAGCGAAGCTGCTTCTCTTCTGTTTCTGCAGAAAAGAATGTCTCTTATTAACAGCAGGTGTTCATCATCAGTGCTCAATCATCACTTAATTACCCCATCATTGTCTCATTAACTTTAACTCTGTTGCTGCTAAATTTTGCTCAATTTAGAGAGGGACCAAATATTCTCTGAACTGAGTAAATTTGACTCTGATGATTTTACTGTGTAGAGTTCTCTACTGAGAATCCTCTGCTGAGATTTTAGAGATTTACTGTGTTTTATTTAAGTTGATTCAATGATAATTCAATGGCGTTCTGCTATCTGGGTAAGGATCTGAGAATCCTTGTAGCAAATGTATGTACTTATGTGTGTGTTGTTTCAAGAAAGCAACTATTTGTTTGTGTTGTGTTTTATTTTCATTTGTTTTTAATCTTTAATTTGTCATTTAATTATTTTACTTAATTGTGATAATTAGTCTTTTAAATTTAATATTTATAATTATCATTATATCATTTTATTGATTATTAGTTAATGATTAGATTGATATTATTATTGATTATTGCCATTTTATTATGTTTTTACATTTTGTTATTATTTTTCTACAATTATTGCTTTATTATTATTTCTATTTTTCCATATTGTCATAAACTTAGGACTGTGAATTCAAGCGACACTTGTTTTCATGAGTAAGATATACTGTAAGAGAATGTCTTCATTTCAGTGTTGCTGTATTGCCTCCCATGAGACCCATGAGATTTATATGTATCGATAGATTTATGTAGAAAGTAAGAAAAATGTAGTCATGTACAAGAAAATGTTGGGAAATGAGAGAAAACCCTAAGTTTGTAAAGTTATATTTATTATTAACTAAAATGTACAGATTTAAAAAATGTCTCAATATGTTGCATGCTTTGTGGATGTTTTTCCTGTAAGTAACAGTAGTATTAGTAAAATCATTAAATTAAGCAATCACACTAGAAAACTGCCAGTAAGGGGCAGCAAAGAGCCATGACTAAATGCTTGTACTTCATCTGAATTCTCTACTATGCAAAAGACACATTTTAAACCATTTATGCAGAATGAGCTCAGACTTAAATCAAAATTTCAAATAGTTTTAGAATAGTATATAAACTAAACTGGCATAAAAGTATTTACTGAAAACCTTTTTACATTATCATTCACTTTTCATATCCATATTTGAGCTCAAGCAAAAATATAAACTACAAATAATCTCTGTAAAGCATGTTATTTTATCACAATCAATATTACATGGAGATTCTTAAATACAAGTCATGTAGTATGCTTGATGTTGCTTTTCTTTTTTTATTATAAATTTAATTTTAAAAAGAAAAAAATAATCAAATCATTATACGTTGAATGTATAAAAAAAATCTGTTATAGAGAATCATCAGTTGTCCAATCAGGTCTTCTTTCAGTAGTCATTAGGTAACATTAGACTCACTGCTGTCAGTTTGGTACCAGGATCCTCCCTGAACAAGTAAAAAAAAACATTATTATTGACAGGTTAAATGAACAGTTCAATTAGATTGTTCCTGTGTGTTTGAGTATGATGACAGCCAAACTGTAGCCCAGGTTATATAAATCTATCAGTTAATTTGATTTAAACTGACTGTCTAAACTGACCTGTTGATTTCTTCTTGTAGTAAATGAGTCCAGCAATCGCTATGATGATTCCCAGCACCAGACCAGATGCTCCGATGGCAAATTTATTCCTGTCAGACTCAGAGATATGGGGATCTGTGGAAAAAGGAAATAATAATGTGTTAGTAAATTCAATAATTTCATTTACATTTAAAAAAATTTAACCCATGCTAGTGTGACAACAAATTATGTACTGTATTTTCTATTTTAACAAAAAAAAATATTGATGGAAACACGAAATGGAAATAAAGGAATTTTCCCTCTTACTCCATTCTTTTGTAATAGGTTGAGTTGAGCTGGCGTGCTCCACCACACACTGGATCTTCTCTCCATTTTTAGGGGTGTATTCCAGGTGAGAGTGAATCTGATAGTACCAGTTACCATTAGCCATCTCCATGGTGGAGGTCACATCTGAAGTTATCACTTTACTGTCTCTGAGCCAGTACATTTTGATTTTTTTAGGGTAGAATTCATATGCACTGCACTGCAACATAGCTGGATGTCTGCCTTCAGCCTGCTTCACTGACTTCATTATTACCTTCGGTTTTACTAAACAAGGCAGAAAAATACACGTTGCTATTTTGATGTATATCATAAATATTTATAAATGCATGAGTGCAACATGTGCAATATAGGAATTAATTATACTGAATGAGCTTCTGAGAAATCATCCATAATTATAAAGAATGCACTTTCCTTAGCATTTATTGTAATATATATCTTGACATTTTATTTTTGTATTAAAAACCATAAGTCACCAATGATGGCCACATTGTTCGGAAAGAACATCACCAAAGCAGCAGATCTCCATTTTACACATTTTGAGTAAGTTTAATCTGAGCACATCGACATGCATGAAAAGACATCTTTATTAAAGAGTAAAGATAAAAAGAGTTTGTGAGCTCACCTGCTTTATCACGTACAGCTGAGTCAATGATCTCAGCATTATGTCTGCAGAATGTGTCCACTGAAGCTTTCAGGTTCTGCAGGAATGCTTTGTCTTTGTTGAAATTGTCTGCAAATTTCACTCCCTGCTCAGTGAACCCTACACACTTCACCTCTGTGCTGTTGCACTTAATATCCACAAATTTATTGAAGGACAATGATACAAGGTACACCATATCACTATAATCACTGGTGCTGTAGATACATTCAAACTTCGTATAGTCGTAATATCCATAAGCTAAAAAAGAAAATAGAGTTAACACTTCAGATTTTGTAAAATTTAATGTCATAAAAAGTATCTGTATTCATCTTCATTTTACTATTAGTCCTGTTCTATTAGCTGATCCTACTCACATTGCTTACTAGAATATCCATATTTTGTCAAAAGCAAATAAATATTTTTAAATCATAAATCATTACTGAATATAAGGTTTATATTTGCTCAGTATTTGCTTAACTTGCCTGTTCCAGTAAATGCCGCCAGCATCAGAATGGCAAGAAAAAGTTTTAGCAGATACATATTTACAGTCTATGAATCTGTCAAATGAAGAACTTTCCCTCAGTGTCTTGTTCTTGTGGTGGATATCTAAATAATCTGACCAATCAGCTTACTCTCACATAAGTGTTGCTAGGTGAAAAACTGTTTTCAATTTTCCTGTTTTCACAAGACAATTACATTGAGTGCATTAATACATGAATGTATAACCATAGCAGTTGTGTATTACATTACACAAAATGTAAGAATATTTATTATTTTTGTCTGTTTTTAAAGTAAGCACAGGTGTTTAGATTAGTTTAGTTTAGTTATATTTTTCATAGAAACAGATAAAACAGTTTATAATTGTGACAATTTGCAAAATATTTATTAAGTAATATTTTTGTAAATTCGATTATTACTTTTTTTACTTTTTTTAAAGTCTTGAAATGTAATTTTATTTTTCAGTCAATATATTTCTATGCAAAAAAATAGATTTTTATTTTTATTTTTTCAGTTTAGTTTAATTTATAATTTTATTGTATTTTGTATTTTATTTTATAAATTTTATTGACGTTTAGTATGTTATTTTATTTTAATATAATGTTTTACTTTATTTTGATGTTTTATTTGATTTTACTTCATTTTGCTTTGATTTTTGTTTTATTTTATTTATTATTTTTATATTATTCAGTCAATATATTTTATTCAATATTGTTTGAGGATCCTATTAGTTTTATTTTCTTATTTTAATTTATTTAATTTTAGCTTAGTTTATTATTATAATTTGTTATTATTATTTAGTATATTATTTCAGTTTAGTTTAATATTTTACTTTATTTTAATGACTGATTTTATTTAACTTTATTTTGTTTGATTTTTGTATTATTTGATTTAATTTATTGTTCTATTTTATTCAGTCAATATATTGTTGTTCAACATATATTTAATTATTGTAAATATTTTATTATTGTATTGTATTTGAGTTTATTTGAGTTTTTTGTTTTATTTTCATGCTTCATTTTATTTATTATGATTTGTTTTATTAATTTCTTTTTTTGTATTTTAGTTTAGTTAAGGTTATTATTTTATTAAATTATTTTACTTTTTTGGTTTTGTTTTTGTTTTATTTTATTTATTTGTTTATTACTTATTCATGTCTGTGTAATATTTTTGTAAATTCTATGAATATTTTATTTTGTTTTAGTTTGAAATTTATTAAAAAAACATTTTTTAATGAATGTTTTGTCAGTCAATATATGTTTAATCAATTTTTTATTATTTTATTTTATGGTTTTATTATTTTAGATTATTTTATTATTTTATGTAAGATTATTTTATTTATTTTAGTTTAGTTAATTAGTATATTTTTATTAGTTTACTGTTCTTATTTCTATTTTATTTTATTATAATTATTATTTATGTCTGTGTGGTATTTTTGTAAATTCACTAAATGTTTTGTTTTGTTA